TGTTTGTGAAATTCTTAAAGTCCGGGTTATTTTGCCTAATAACATTAAATTAATATTGAATTTCATTAACAAAAATGGAATCACAACTCCTAAATCATCGGTAATCGGAATATTAAAAGAAGAGCATACACAAAATCCGTTTAGGGTTTGAGATATTTCACACACTGAACAAGTAAAATTATTCTTTGAAAGCAAATAATAGTAAAAATGACAGCACAAAACAAGGGGATGAAAGGATTTAGATTCGGTATAATAGAAACAAATAAAACATGGCCTTTCGTGGAAAATGCAAGTTTAGGGACTAGTTGGTCAGACTTCGGAAGGTATATGGACCTCAGCTGCGCTTCGGGCCAGACCAACCAGTCCGTAAGCTTGCATTTTCCCCGAAAGGCCATTTTTTATTTCTTAAATAAACCCCATATATCATTTCCGATATAGGGCCTTTTCTGTTCTAATATGTTTGAAACCGGTTGTACCGTCCACAAAACTGGATCCCGCGATAACGCAAAAAGTACTGAAAATATTTTTATGAAACTTGATATATGGATAGATGGCAGTATGGAGATTATGCACGTCTTTTTTCTTTTCTTCCTATGTTGAAAATTCTGGTTGCTATGGCAACAAATAGTCTGAAAATATGGCAAATTTAATATAAGTCAGATATATATCTGTGATAACGTTTGTGTAGATGAGCTACGCAATTCGCTGGTCAGTGATTTCCAGCAAATATTACGAAAATTTTCAAACAACATTTTTTAATTATAATTATTTAGTAACATAATGGTCAAGTCTACCATAACGGTGTAAAACAGATATCATATTGTATTTATCATCTTTCAACTATATAAATAAAAAAACTACTAATTTGCCAACTGTCAACTTAACGCAGTAGGTAAGACTGTTAGTTAAATTTCTATTTGAATATCAATGCAAGGCATGTTCGATTCGCAAAAATTATTTCTGTATATGAAGAATATTTTTATTGTGTTGTGTTATTTTTTTTATTTACTTCTCATTTCACTTTTTCTTTTGTTTTCAATGTACACAAGATAAAAAAATATTATAATCTGTGTATTAAAATTATTAGATATTGTAACAAAACTACCTTGATCTCCCAATTCATTTGCATATATCATAAAATTGATAAAATAAGGAAAGAAAAATGTTAGACAATTTCTTAGGCTCGAACTCGTGGTAAAATTTTAAGTCGTATCGTATACCAACAACTTTACCAAATTTGCCATAAAGTTGTTTTAAATGGTACTTCTTATCTTGTATTATATTCTCTTCTTCAAAAAAGCTGTTTTACCTATTATCCCGAGATGATAATTTGGTTCTAACGGTACTTGGGAAAGTCCATTAAAGGGTAAGTCTGCATATTATCGGAGATTGAAAGTGTCAACGACTATTATAGTATAATTTCTAATAAAAATGTGTACCATCGTAGTGGTTAAATTGGTAAATCAGGGTCACTGTAACTTCTTATGAAATGCACTCACAGGTTCGAAACCGACGCTCATACATGACATAGTGATGATGTTATTTTCTTTTTCTTTTTCTTTTGTCTGTCTTTTGTATGATCGTTTGAAAATATTTTGTTCTTCCCAATTTCTTTTTCTATTTTTTTTGTTATTTGTTTCTTAAAGCAAACTGCTACATGTCAAGTGATTAATTAATTAATTAAATTTAGCATTTTAAAAATCAAACTATTTTAAACGCACTACGATTACGAAATATTTATAACTTGAATATATGGATCAATATATAACATACTTAACTTCATTATATTGTTACATTTATGATGATGTCTAACTGTACACAAGTGCATATCAACCCGTGTCCAAAAAAACAACAACATTGAGGCATCAATGAGGGAATTCGGTAGTTTCATATAATAACCGGTTTATTTGTTATAAGTCGATATTACTAGTAATACATGTATCATACAAATACTGTACATCTTTTATGAATATTTCAACATTATATCGTTTACCATTTAAGTAGTAATTTTATATGATACCAGATCTTCAATATATGGATCCAAGTAAGTCATGTATGGAACCAGATGCTATTATATGAAACCGAATTATCAATATATTAAATCAATTTTACAATATATGAAACCAGTTTATCAATATATGTAACCGAAGTAGCAATATAAAAGTTGATTTTCACATTATATGATACCAGTTCTTCAATATATGATACCAAAGTAGCAATATATTGAACCAAAATGTCATTATACTGACGGGACTTTTTTTACAGGCTGTATTCTATCCTTGCACCGGTATTACAGTCCTTGTTTAAAGAACATCGTGCTTCACTGACTGCATACTGACTGCATACTATAAGGAAATATTTGAAATTAACGTCACATTCACTTAAAATGGGCTGGGCAGGCAAAACTTATCGTTATATATGTAGTTGTATGACATAATTTAAGCTATTGAGTCGTACTGACCATTAACAAAAACATATTTAAAAATAAGTTCATCTCGACCTTTACCTTTGATCAAAAATAGGCAGTGCCAGAAGGACACATCAAGGTTAATCTACTGATAAAGTTAAAAAATAACTTGTCAAATAATAATTGATTTCATGAAAAAGTTTATGCATTGTAATAACAGAACCCAGTGACCTCGGCCTTTGACTTGTTGACTTGAAAATAGGCTATTTTGGTTCCATATAATGACAATTGCTATCATAGAATGTAACATCAACTTATATACTAGCTGCTACTTTGGTTCGATACATTAATAAAATGGTTCCATATGTTGTAAAAATGACTTAATATAATGATAATTCGGTTTCATATAAGGGCATATTGAATATCTGGTATCATATAATGTGACAATCAACTTATATATTGATACTTCGGCTCCATACATTGATAAAATGGTTTCATATATTGTAAAAATGAATTAATATATTGATAATTCGGTTTCACATAAGGACACCTCGTTCCATATATTGTTACTTTGGTTCCATATATTGAATAATTTGTATCATATATTGTAATAACCAACTCATATATTGATACTTTGGTTCCATACATTGATAAAATGGTTTCATACATTGTAAAAATGAATAAATATATTGATAATTTGGTTTCATATAAGAACACCTTGTTCCATACGTTGTTACTTTGGTTCCACATATTGAATTATTGGAATCATATATTGTAATAACCAACTCATATATTGCTACTTTGGTTCCATACATTGATAAAATGGTTTCATATATTGTAAAAATGATTTAATATATTGATAATTTGGTTTCATAGAAGGACACCTGGTTTCATACATTGCTACTTTGGTTCCATATATTGAATAATTTGTATAACCAACTCATATATTGCTACTTTGGTTCCATTCATTTTTTCTTTAGATATATCGTTTAAATAACAATAATTATCTTTAAAACTTCATTAAATGCCGTTTTATTGTTAAAAAAAACATTTTTACAACATTAAAATTTTTGGCTGCTAGGCCGCCAGGCCGCTGGGCCGCCAACTTCACAAAAATGACAAACTTAAAAAAATCTCTGAAAGTGATTTTTTCTTTAGATATATCGTTTAAATAACAATAATTATCTTTAAAACTTCATTAAATGCCGTTTTATTGTTAAAAAAAACATTTTTACAACATTAAAATTTTTGGCTGCTAGGCCGCCAGGCCGCTGGGCCGCCAACTTCACAAAAATGACAAACTTAAAAAAATCTCTGAAAGTGATTTTTTCTTTAGATATATCGTTTAAATAACAATAATTATCTTTAAAACTTCATTAAATGCCGTTTTATTGTTAAAAAAACATTTTTACAACATTAAAATTTTTGGCTGCTAGGCCGCCAGGCCGCTGGGCCGCCAACTTCACAAAAATGACAAACTTAAAAAAATCTCCGAAAGTGATTTTTTCTTTAGATATATCGTTTAAATAACAATAATTATCTTTAAAACTTCATTAAATGCCGTTTTATTGTTAAAAAAAAAAAACATTTTTACAACATTAAAATTTTTGGCTGCTAGGCCGCCAGGCCGCTGGGCCGCCAACTTCACAAAAATGACAAACTTAAAAAAATCTCTGAAAGTGATTTTTTCTTTAGATATATCGTTTAAATAACAATAATTATCTTTAAAACTTCATTAAATGCCGTTTTATTGTTAAAAAAACATTTTTACAACATTAAAATTTTTGGCTGCTAGGCCGCCAGGCCGCTGGGCCGCCAACTTCACGCCGCTAGGCCGCCAGGCCGCCGGGCCGCCAACTTCACACCGCTAGGCCGCCAGGCCGCCAACTTCACACCGCCAGGCCGCCAGGCCGCTAGGCTGCCAACTTCACACATTAAATATACGACTGATGCCGTGCATGTAAATATAGTACCCATAGTTTACAATAACCATTGGTATGTCTATTTTTAGATTTGCTTTAAAGCAGCACGCCTCCAGCTTGAAACTAATTTTCATGAAAAATTTTAGAATGTATACAAATTAAAAAAAAATGTCAATTGAATGAAAGAAAGTGATCTAAAACATTGCAAACGGCACTTAAAGTCTACGAAAAATAAAAAGAATAGGTCACAATATGCAAAAAAAGCCTTTACTGCTTTAGCCACACAGTAGAAATATGGTATCAAATGCTGCAAATCAGTCGTTACTTACATATAACATGAAAATAATTTCTTGAATTGTGGCTATTTTTACTTTATTTAAAATCCCACATTTTTTCTCAAGGTTGATTTTCTTAAAATATTTTGACTTATCCGGATGGATGCAACTTTCATGTATAACCTTCTAAACCGGGAAAAATGATTTACCTTCGCCACCAGTGATAGTCATGATAGTGTGCAGTCTGACCAGTCTCTGACTAAATTTTCATTTTCATTTTGATATACCTAAAATTGATAATGGACAGTCCCAAACAACCGGAAGTTGGTGAAATCCATTTAGAAAATCAGCAGATAAAAGTTTAAATCTTCCGAACTTGATAATTTGGTATTTTAGGGCGCTCACACCTACAGGGATAATGGATTTTCTAAGCTATGTGAAAACCTTCTGTGTACGAACGTGACGGCTAAAAACTGGTGTAATGGAATGGACGCCTACGAGAAGACGTCGTGCGGGGACAGAAAAGTATTATGATCCAATAACTAAAATATTTATATTTGATAACAATGTTGCAAAATTCGTTGATAACTTTACAAGTATCTCTTTACAAGTATCTCTTTAGTATTGTAACCTTACAAATCTCTTTTTATTGTTGTAAATAAAAAGTGAAAATAATACCCATTAAACTTATACTTTTAGAGTAAACTCCTTCCGAATTTATTACTTTACCTAAATAATCTAAGTTAAACCTATTTGTTATCAAACTTCTATTTTTGTCAATCAAATTATAATGTACATATTTGTAAATTACAGTGGTGCATAAATGGACAATGTGTGCATGATGCTAATGCGCCTCAATCAAATGGTAAGGGCATAATCTCATTGATTCAAAGAATCAAGTGCAAATTAAACGTACAATAAACGATTGTTTCGAATTGGCCATTTTTTAGTTTATGCTGATGTGCCGGCTGATCTTGTTCTGCACTGGACGCATCTGTATTTCAGTTAATAATACTAAGGTTATATCTTTGCATTTATCATGAAGTATCATGAAGCTGATTCTAAAGTAAATGTTCTGTTTTGTTTGTTTGTTTTGTTTGGTTTTACGGCGCACCAAGACAAATAATGTCATATGGCACCGAAACAGGAAAGATGATTCTGGCTAACATCGGGTGTTAAAAACTTAAGGCAGTACCAGGAGTCGAAACCACCTCACCTGCTGGGGCTAAGAGATGCATAGACGTCAGTGAATTAAACCCATTTAGTCGCTTCTTACTTAATCACACATATGCATTTCTGATGCCTCAACCCTTAAAGGCAACGTATAAGTCACAAGGGGAATATGTTTGGTACAGACAATAAAGAAGTGCATCCAACCACAACACAGTTCTTTTTCTAACATTCGTTTTAGATGCTTGTCCAATGGGTGATATACAAAACGACAGATCGGTTACACATTATCACCTTACATGTGCGGAATTAGCCGTACAAAAACCAAGGGCGTGTTACAGTTCACACACTGCTGGTGCTTGTTGTGAAACGTGTGACAGGATAAAACAACCAGTCAAAGGTAATATAAATTATAAAATTACATGTACATTAAATTTCACAAAACATGAACATTTCATGAAGAGAATAAAGTAAAATATGTTCGTTGCATACAGCTACAGTCTCAAATGGAAATAAACTCAGGTTGTACTGTTATTGTTTATGTATTTTATGTATCCGTATAATAAAGTCAGTAAATAAAATTGTGTTTTAAAATCAATTTTCATTGGTCATTTTAAAATTACATACTGAAATCTGGGACCGTAATTGTTATTTTCCTTTGATTATACTTGTATATTGGTCGGAAAGCTGCACCATTAAGGAGAAGAATGTGTTTATTGGTTACAGAGTGTTAATATGCAATGGTATATTTACAAACCATAAAAGAATGTCAGTATTTGGTCGTCTATTTTGATAAACATGTATTGTCGTGTTTTGTTACTAAGTCCCTAAGTCCTCAAAGTAAAAAAGTCCGTTTAATAATTCTGTATTTATGATTTCAAGCTGTCTTTTGCCAGTCTGTTAACAAACATTCAGTTCTATGGGGGCGTATACATAAGTGTTTTTATCTTAAATATAAAGCTAGCGGTAGCGTAGTGTCATTTTGTTACTTTTTCACCATGGAAGTTATACCAATTCCTATTAAAGTGGATTGGTCTCAAACGGGCACATTTTCCATAAGTATTTCGAAAATTGATGAAAACAATAGAAATGTATCATATAGATATTCGTATAAAAATGGCGTGAATAATATGTAGATAAAGTTTTGTTTTTTTTTATAATGATTCAATATGAACATTTTGATATAATGAATAATAATATTATGTTTTAGAATAATTTATCATCTGCTATATGAATGTATGTAATATAGGACCATGTACCGGGTATCTCTCACTTGACAACAGCATTCATATGTATTCTTTCGTGGTTTGTAGTTATGTCTGATACTAAACATTATCAACATAATTATTTATTGTACTACATACCTTCCATTATAGACCAATTCACTTTAAAGTAGCAAGTCTCCAGATTCATGATAATTGTCATGAAAATTTTTAAAATGTATGCAGATAATGTATATTGTCAAGTGAACAAATAAAGTAATTTACACATTGCAAATGGCACTTTAAACCCACAGAAATTACCAAATAGCACTTACTACATTAGTAATACAGTAGAAATATGGTAATAAATACTACAAAATCAGTCATTAATCACACATTACATGTAAAATTATTACTTGAATCTTGAGTCTTAATTTTGTTCTTGAACAGTTTGACTTATCATGAGGCATGCAGCTTAAAGACATCTGTACATAACAGAAACATTCGCCGAAACACAAAGAGAAATACGTCTTTTAAAATCACTTGGAAAATCACAGTTCTAATTTGACAATTTGATCTATGTTTTATGTGTGTAGGTTGCGAGTATGGGGATCATCATTCTGGCTGTACAAAAAGTCATTGTGGAAGTTATAATCAGGATAGACTTAATACATGCTGCCATACATGCAGGGGTACATCTATTGTCGGCTAGAATTACCTATTGTCTATTGAATTACCTATTGAAAAATAATAATGGATTTGAAATCACTACTCTTTTGTTTTCTATATTTCTTTTTCATATAAATACAACATGACGGGTTATTTTGTATTAAAAAATGATTTTGCATCTGTATATCAAAAGTAGACTGATTGAAAAATATCATAACTCGTACCCAAAGGTCCATTAAGCTACCGAAATGCTATCATTTTTATTTTCTTAAAATCTTTTCAATTTTGGTTTATTATTATTATTATTATTATTATTATTATTATTATTATCAATATTATTTTTAATATTGTTATAATTATCATTATTATTATTATTATTATTATTATTATTATTATTATTATGTGGGTCGCTATTTTCACGCATACATTGTGTGGTTGATGGATCTATTCATTGTCACTCTACAAAGTGCTGCCAAATAATATATTTCATTAGCTATTAAAAATATGTATAAGTTTAATTTTCTTCTGACAATTTCATTTATTTTTTTATCCTCTGCAGCTAAACAAGTTTGCATTGTTCTTTAAATAATTGAACGATGGAAACGAGTAAGAATATAAATTAGCTCTTTTTATAGTTGTAACTTTTTGAAAGTAAAACGTGATTTTTTATTAAAAACAACGCGTGGCGTTTATAAATTGTGTTACGTTATTGCAACATTTCTCGTGTTAATTTTAATTGTGCTGTTGTTGTTGTTGTTTAAAAATGCAAAACCTTTCATGTACTTATAAATATATACAAAAATAAGCTGGCCCCTTCATTTTATATAGAACAAGTTCGATATTGAAGTGTACATGTCGGTTTTTAAGGACATTCTTTGTGCAAGATAAGATATTGTGTGAATACGAATCATCCCATATGGTGTTGTTATTTTATCTTTCGCTGATGACCTACTCATATAACATTGCGAAATCTTTATTTCCTATTTACACTTTTGTACTTGGTAACCAACGAAAGGTATTGTTTTTCTTAATAGTGTATGTAATTGTCAAGTGGTGCTTGTTTTATGTCTTAAAACATTCTAAAGTTTAATACTTGCTCGTCAATGTGTTGTTAATGTTTCTAAATAATGAATACAGGACTATAGGCTATATATGTTCCTGAAAAAGTTACACAAACCTAGCTTGGTTAACATGAGCATGTAAACAAAAACAACGTACAAAACGTTAGATATAAATTTTGCTTATTCAAGATTTTCATGAATATTATTTATGCTCCGATACATGTATATCTTACTCATGAATTATGAATTCTGACTGATGAAGACCACTGATGTGACTGACTCAAAGTGGTCTTGATGTCGAGTTGGTCTTAATAGTGAATTAACCACACCAACCATCTACGAAGTTCAACTACACTAAATGTATGGCGTAAGAATAACAATTCTAATTACATATATTTGCTTTTCAGATATACTTAGAAGAACAATAAAATACGTTATTGCAAAATATGACGGTGCTTCATACATCCATGTTAACAGCCTTGGTGAGTTGTTTTAGATAAAGTTTACAACATTAAACTACGAAATACGTATAAACTAATGGCCAATATTTGTGACGATTTCTGAAAGTCTTGAAATCTCTTGCATTAACGTCCGTTTGCAATAGGACTAAAATAAACTTACACGTTGTATTTCGTAAATTATCCTGTTTCTATACATTCGATAATAGTATTTCGATAGTATCACAAATCCTATTGCATATAAGCACACAAACTATTTTAACATACATTATTGTTTAAAGCAATTGATCAGACTATATTTACTAAATCTATAATAAATTTATAATATATTACATATATTTTTAAAAAGGAGAGTAGTATATTTAAGGTGTTTTTAGTTTATTTCCTTTCAAAGTTGTTTAATGAATATCGGACTAGCATTAAAATAAAAAAAAATAAGATAAGCCGAATTTGAACTATACCTTGAATGTTTGAAATTAATCAACACTTGATTGACAATGTGTATTACCTGTTTGACAGCGTCAAATGGTATTTTATCTACTGATTTAGATGTTTGTATTGTTATAGGTTGCATGCATTGCAGCGCTTTCCTTCCCGTGTTGTGAAGCATTTGTGTTTTCGGACGATTGCCCTGCTCCGGCACCATGTTCGTGTTCAGGTCTAGCGGATAACGCCCTAATAATGTGCAGCAACAAACAGTTAACGTCCGTGCCAGTATTTCACTCCTCGAACCTACACACTAAGGACATTATTGTGTTTCTAAACAGCAATAACCTGACAGCAATACGTAACTACGTGTTCCGCAGTCTATCCAGTATGCATGCAACATCCATTCACATGCAGCTCGACACAAACGCCATATTCTTTATTGAACAGCATGCTTTTGATGGCATTGAAAATTCACTTACAATTCTTCAACTACAAAACAACAAATTAACATCCGTACCTAACGCAGTCGGGCGACTTCGGAACCTTGATTATCTAGACGTAACCAACAATCCCTTGAAATACTTGGGAATTTCATCATTGTCAGGAATTGGACTATCTCTGAAAACTCTGTATATAGATATGACTCCATTCGCCGTATGGCCAACTGAGCTTGTGTCCCTTACAAGTTTACAACATCTTACCATTTCCAGCATTCCGTTCGAGAGCATGAACTCCAGCGATTTCCGAGGATTTGATAACTCCTTGATAACTCTTGATATTAAAGAAGCACCCAGGTTGAGAAATATACCCTGCGCTTTGACCAACCTTCCCAGGTTGACGTCGTTTTATTTGGAACACTCGGGTAGGTTAGGAGCCAATGGTACAAGCGCCATTGCAGTCAATTGCTCGCGACCAAGTCATTCTATCACTACTTTTACTTTGGAAAATAGCAATTTGACAACTTTTCCCGATGTACTACACAATTTTCCAAGAACAACCAGTTTGAACCTGCTCGGTAACTCGCTAGAATTTATTGAAATAGAGAAAATATCATCGGCCAACAGACTGGCAAAAGTTGACCTCGCTTCGAATAATTTCAGAAGAATTCCATCAGCTTTAAACAGAATGATTAATCTCACCGAGCTTGACCTTTCCAAGAATTTAATAATTTCGGTTGAGGATGTTGACTTAAGTGGTCTGTCCAAACTTCAGACGCTAAGCCTTGCAGATAACCCAATTCGTTACATATCTACACATGCTTTTGACAACAACAAACTACTTGCTGAGCTAAATTTAGCTAATACGAATCTGCGGATGATACCAGTTTCTGTGACGTCACTTACACATCTTGCTGACTTTGATCTTACTGGCGTAACAATCACATGCAGTTGTGACATGGCTTATTTGAAGAATTGGAACATTAAACCGATTACATCTTTAGATGGTGTGTGTACTAATACAAATGCTGCGCTTAAGAACTTTCTCTCGACGTCTCTTCCTTTGTGTCATTAACTTTCTTAGACAACAGACAAAAGTGTAAAATATGAAAACAGTTCTATGTCCAATTGAATGTGAAATGAAGGACTATGTAAATAAATGTTTAAAACGATTCACGTTCTTGTTATTATCAGTTGTCCAGTTTCGGCACAGGACCTGTTCTGACTCATTCAATGTCGTGTTTCTAGAAAACCGGCAATTCATAAAAAATGAACTGCCAACAGTTGGTTAGATAATATTATGAACAAAAAAATCAAATGTCATATAACGGCATTGATGAAACCGGAACTGGCCATGTACTAGAACGAACTGGATAATTGAGTGTATAATTTCTTCAGAATTACTAAGTTAAGTGTTTAGTACTATAAGGCATGCCAATATAAATGTATTGTGCAGCAATTTTACGAACTATCCCAGAGTTTATTTCAAGTATAAATCCTTGTTTGATTCTTTACAGTACCCGTGTTCCACCTATCGTACATCATAGACATAACGTATAATACATATAACATAGATGGAGACTCTAGAATGCAAGTAGTCAAACATGCATCCATTATAAAATATAACATTTGAATGTCGTAGGTCAAACAGAATTCACGGAATACTTATTAAGCTGCGGTCTCACTTACTCCCGGCAGAGCCCAGGACCATCCCGGTAAGTTACCGGAATGATCCGGGACGATCCGGGTCGAAATTATTGTTGCGGTCACACTTACCCCGGTAGCACTACGGTAGTTCCCAGCTAACCACCCAGAATGCGCTCCGGATCATCCAGGCAGAGTCCAGGTGAAGCTACGGTTCATGCCGTTGCTTCCCCGGTCGTTCCCGGATGACGCCGGAAGAGCCCCGGTTGACCCAGACAGAGCCCCGGTCGATCCAGGCAGAGCCCCGGCAGAGCCAAGGACGATCCAGACAGAGCCCCGGTAGAGCCCCGGTGGATTGAAAACGCCCGAAAATGATAACATTGATACATAATTTTTATTTAAAATAATATCTATTGTTCCTGAATAGTAAGTAATTCATGATGATTTTCTGAAAAATCCTTTTGCCATACTGGATAGAAGGGAAATGGGAAGGGTTTTAATACAAAACAAGTGAATTCATCGCAAATTGTCGTTATTCTTTTGAAATGATCCGGGCTTTGCCGGGGCTCTACCGGGATCAACCGTAGCTCTACCTTTATCCTCCGGGGCTCTGCCTGCCTGTAGTTACCGGGGCTCTGCCGGCATATACCGGGGCTCTACCGTAGCTCTACCGTAACTCTACCGGCTATATCATACCCCGGATCATCCCCGGTTTGTGCCGGCAGAGCTACGGTACTTCCCCGGTATAACCCCTGTCGTTCCAGGCAGAGCTAAGGATGACGCCGGCAAAGCTATACCTTCCCGGATCATCCCGGACCACCCCGGTGATATTAAATATCTTATTCCATCCGGGGTAGAATGCCGGATGTTCCCGGATCATCCAGGATCATCCCGGACGTTGCCGGCAGAGTTACGGATGTACTCCGGTTGTTCCCGGTCGTACCCCGGTCGTTCCCGGATCACCCCGGACGTCTACGGGGGCTCTGCCGGGATGTAAGTGAGACTGTAGCTTAAGTTAAGCCCTTGCGACCCTATTATAAAATATAACATTTGAATGTCGTAGGTCAAACAGA